TGGATGAAGTGAGTTCGGGATAGGTATGTCTTTGCTGATATTTTGTTACATGTGAAAGTAATAACTACAGGAATAACTGGGTTTACCTTGGTAAAACTGTCTTTTTCGTCAAGTTTGCAAATTGCTCCCATCAATCTCAATAGGTGCAATTTGTTAAGTTTGCTGATATTTTGTTACATGGGAAGTTATAACTACAAGAATAAGTGGTTTACCTTGGTAAAACTGTCTTTTTTCGTTAAGTTTGCAAAATTGCTCCCATCGATCTCAAAGGTGCAATTTTGCAGAATAGGGTACATGTAATTTTGTTATGCTGACTAAATTGGTGTAAGAAAAAGTTGTCGATAAGATTATTCAGAGTGCTCGAATCATTTACAGGGAAGAGAAGCAATCCAGCTAAGGTTTTTAGTGCCCTCACTTGGAGTTGGTCATCAAGATCACTTCAATCTCCTAAAGATAGTGTAAATTCGCATGAATCTAACGACCCATGTAAGCCTGGTGCTCATTGCATTACTCTCCAAAAGCTTTATTCAGAGGAGCAAAAAGTCTACAAGGATGTTAAGGTGATTCGATCTGAGTAAAACTATACGAGTCTACCATCATATTGTTATTGCACATCTTATGCTCGATGTAATGTGTCCAAATTAGGCTATGTTTGGTAAAATTAGCTGATAAGCTAGCTTATATCTTATAAAAGTGATTTTTGAGCTTATAGCTTGTAGCTTATGACTTATAGTTGAAAAGATAGCTTATATGATAAAAGTGTATAGTAAAATTAGCTGATAAGTTGAGGTAGCTGAAATAAAAATTTTAACGAGCTTATTTGGAAAGTTACTCAAAGAAGCTTATGATATAAGCTCGAGCTTTTAAATAAAAACTTGTCCTACCAAACGAAGCTTATTTGAATACAGGAAACTCATAAGCTAACCAAATAATAGCATTGTTGAAGTAAGGATTTCGTAACAAACTTCGTTATACAATGCACTATCTGTATATTTTGATTGTTTTAAAATTTCTATGGTCACTTTCCTTCATTTTTTTTTTCGTTTGATATCCCTATCTTAGGAGGAAGAAATGGCCAAACTGGAGTATGGTAGAAAATCGCTATTATTGCAGAGATTGCAGGAAGAGCACGATTATGCCAAGGCTGAGAAAACACGTTTAGCATATGAAAGCTTGGAATCTTACATATCATCTCTGCAAGAATCAATTGAGAAGTCATCATCGACTTTATTGACCCTCATAACCAAAGAGCTCCACTGTCAGCTGATCACACTAACTTCAGGGTAAAAAAGTCGAAATACGTTAAAAGCTGAATTTTTTTTTTACTACATTTTAACAGTTAACACGATTGTAAAAGATAACTTTGTGCATTTGTACTACTATTTTTCAGATTGATGCATATGTGGCGAACAATGCACGATTGCCATGAACTCCAAAGTCATATTTCTGAGCAGCTGAATCATCTAGCTGATCAACAGAAAATCGAGCCGACTGCCGAGTCTCACCGTCAGGCGGCTGCTCAGCTTCAGACAGAAGTCAACTCTTGGTACCTTAGCTTTTGCAAGCTTGTTAAATTTCAACACGAGTATGTGAGGGCTCTCTGCAAGTGGTCCGAACTTACGCATTATCTGCAAGCTATTGACGGCTCAAGAATTGATGACTTGAAAAAGGTCCACACTCTTGCGAAAAAATGGCTGCAGGCACTTGATAATTTGCCTGATAAGGTAAATTTGTGATTCTAATTTTTTTTATGCTAATAGTAAGAGCTTCTGGTAAGATAAAGGTGAAACCCATTATTGTTAGGCCTGAAATTTAATTGGTTTTAGAAAAGGGGTGTTGCAATCACTATAGAAAATGAGCTTTCAGTTTTACATGTTGCTCATCAAAAACTCTTAATTTCCTTGTTCAACAGGCAGCTTCTTTATTTACGAATATATGGTGAAATTTATGATTTTGTTAGTTATGAAATTTAATTACTCAGCAAATGAGTGTTGCAAAACCACAGAAAATGAGCTTTCAGACAGTAGAAAAAAGAAATTCTGCTTTAATATAATCAGAGTGTGGTAGTGTGCATGTGCACGCACACAGAGAGAGAGAGAGAGAGAGAGAGAGAGAGAGAGAGAGAGAGATGTGCTTCAGATTTTTTTTTCTACTGTTTGTATTTTGAATTTTACAACCAGATAATGCACTTTTACAACTTATTTTACCACATCTTTTTTTTATAATCTTTTATCTTTTAGTATTTGACATGTTACTCACCAAAATCTCTCGATTTCCTTATTCAACAGGCTGCAGCTTCTTTATCTACGAATGCAACCAGTTCCTAATTATCAAATTAGTTTTTGCATACTCCACAAATCATCTATATAATTTGAATAATTCACTTTTGGCCCGTGTGCAGATGGTGTCTGAGGCCATTAAAGCTTTCTTATCAACCGTCCACACCATTGTCGTGCAGCAGCATGAAGAATGCAGCATGCGCAAAAGATCCCAAAGGCTAGAAAAAAAACTCGAAAGAGAGCTTGCTTTACTTTCGGAAGTTGAGATGAGATTTTCCAGAAACTTCTCGACCGAAGATTCTAACTCTGTATTGACTTCTAATAACCACCCTTTGACAATCAGGCGTGCAAAAGTCGAAGCATTGAAGGTGTTAGTGAACAACGAGAAGGTTAAGTACATGAATTCTGTTAAAACAACGAGGGTCATGATTGTTAATAGCCTGCAAATGAGTCTCCCCAAGGTTTTTCAGGCGCTTACAGTGTTTTCGAGTGTTTATGCCGATAGTTTTGAGGAAATTCTTAGTAATGACACTGAGCGTGAAGACGTGCAGCACACTCCAACTCGTGTAATTTAAGTTTTTGAGCTGAAATTTGGTGTTAATTTAATGTAAATTCTGCAATTTTTTTTGAGTTTTTTTTGCAGATCTGAATTCTGAAGTAATATTAACTTGTAATATTTTGCCACAAGCTTTCTTTGAGATTAGTTCTAGCCAATGGAGTAAAAACTTCACTTATTATAAAAGACCAAGAATCATGTGTAAACTAGTAGATGTGAGAATGAATCTTTTTTTTTTTTTTTTCAGCCTGAGTTTGCCAAGATCAAAGAACAAATATATGCTACAGTTGAAGATTATCACCATCATCATCATCCCAATTCTCTTCTGTACCATTTTTCAGATGCTGGAACCCATTTCCCAATCTGCTCATCTCAGCAAGTCCTGAATGAACATACAAATAAATAAACAAAATAAAAGTTTTATCAGCAAAATGAAATAAATCAAACACAGAATTACAACTACAATTGAGGTTTTGTGCTTTGTTTTGCAATTATCTTCCCAAAGAGTCCAATGGATAAAACATAAATGCATTGTCAGAGAGCAAATACTTATAACTATCAAACACAACATATATTTTTTTTTTCCTTTTAATAATTCAGCAAAACGACCACCAGCTAGTTTATGTAATAAAAAAAAAAGGCATGAAAACACACCTTCGATCACTCTGTATAAACCCGACCACCATCGATAATACGGAACCTCAAAACGATCGAGGGTATCCTCAATAACTCTGTTGTGTTCACCCATCAACACTTTCTGCAGAGTTACAATTGCATCACTTGTTTTGTTGATAATAATAATGCTGTTCTTTTCATCTTCAGAATCAGGAATCTGAAGATTCTTTAACGAGGCTTCGAGATTTAAAGCAAGAGCATGCTGAGTGGCTTCATTCCAGCGGGACGATATGTGGGCCCCATTTTTCGGTCTGTTATTATTCTCCCGGCCCTTTGTACTCACAACTAAGCTTTTCAAGTACTTAGCATTTGCTTCTCCCGTGCTACGAACCATCTTAGAGAAAACACTTTCTTCGCTCGAAAGAAGATTTTCGGGAGTGTCGTACTCAATCACCTGTTTTTTTAGTCAATTTTCAGAAAGTCGATGTTAAAAAAAAGAAAAAAAAAATCGATTCTCTTTCAAAACTATGGAGTATCTATCTGCTACTGTTTTTTGTCATATCATACCTGACCAGCATCAAGAACGAGGATTTTGTCACTATCGATTATAGTATTGAGGCGATGAGCGATAGTTAGCATTGTGCAAGATTTAAATTCGTCACGGATTGTTTTCTGTATAAGTGCATCAGTTCTTAGATCAACGGCTGCTGTTGCTTCATCAAGCACGAGGATCTTTGATCTACGAAGTAATGCTCGTGCAAGACTCAATAGCTGCCTCTGCCCGACACTAAAATTTTCACCCCCTTCAAAAACCTTAAAAAAAACATCCCAAATAAGCAATATTTTTTTTCATGAATTAATCAGCTAAAACTGAACACATGTCCTTTTTACCTCAGCATCTAAGCCTAATGCACTCCTTCTGAGAACATCCTTCAAGTGTGCTCGTTCCAAAGCCTCCCACAGATCCAAGTCGTTGTGCTCACCAAAAGGATCAAGGTTAAATCTAATGGTACCTACAAAAAAAAAAAAANAAAAAAAAAAAAAACACCAAAAAACTGATAAACATAACATCATATTCAAACAAAATGGCTAAACAGAAGTTCCCATATCCACATCATGTAGGGTTGTTATCGAACCTAACTGTTCGCGAACAAAGCTTATTCGTGTTCGATAACAACTCGTTCGTTTAGTAATCAATCTGAACTCAAACATAAAATTATGTTTGTTTAGTTATCGAACGAACACAAACAAGTTCACGAACTAATCGAGCGTTCGCGAACAAAAAAGTATTTTATAATTTTATATATTATATATAGTGTATACCTATATAATATAACATTAAATATGGATATATATTAATATTAAATAAAATAACTTGTATGGTATTAAAAAAAATTTCAACAAACACGAACACGAACTTGTCGAACAATTCGAACAGTCACGAACAAGTTCGACTATATAAACGAACCAACACAAACGAAATATTTTGTTCGATTATTAAACTAACGAACACGAACATGCTCGAAAATTAGTCGAACTCGAGCTCGAAAACCTTAAGCTCGGTTTGGTTCGGTTCGATAACAACCCTATCCACATGACTTGGTGAAACATGTATATATATACCAGAGAAAAGAACAGGTGATTGCGGGATAATGCTGAGAACTCTGCGTAAATCCATCAATCCAAATTTCGCAACATCAAAATCGTCGATCAAAATTCTTCCCCTTTCGAGCTCCACTATTCGGAACAACGCGTTAATCATGCTCGACTTACCGGCCCCGGTCCTCCCAATTATCCCAACTTTGTGGTGCGGATAAATATCGAACGTCAGCCCCCTCAAAACAGGAGGTAGCTCGGGCCTGTACCTTAAACAAACATTTTCGAACTTCACGGATCCCAATGCAGGCCACCCGGTAAAGGGTCGGTTATCCCCGATCACTTCAGGGGCTTCGAAGGGCAAATCTATGTACGTTCCTACACGTTCGACCGAATTCAAACTGTTTTCGGCTCGACTCGCTTGTCTCAGCACATTGCTCAACAGATTCGTGATGTTTAAGGAATAACTAAGGAGCAAGCCCATAGTAGATGCGAATGCCACCTGGTTTTGAGCTCGGTTGTTTTGCATGACGGCAAAAGTTGCGGTCAGCCAGATCATGAATCCTCCGAGAGTTTCGAGTCTTATTGTTAGCCAACGATTCGAGCTTATGTTGACTAGAGTGAACCTCGTGTTGTTGTCCATAGACTTGCCGTTTATATTTGCCAATCGGTCGTACGCTTTGTATGCTCGTATTGTGGAGAGACCGTTTAGCGCTTCTCCAAACTGAGCATATACGGGCGATCGGGTGATTGATTCTAGACGCTTTGCTTCTCGGGATGTGCTCTGNTTTTTATTTCAACTAGCTTATCAGCTAATTTTACCAAACACTCTTATCATATAAGCTAACTTTTCAGCTATAAGCTATATGATCGAAAATCACTTATCAGCTATCAGCTAGCTTTACCAAAGATAGACTAATTGGTATAAAATCCAAGTGTTACATTACATTATAAAAAGAAGTTTAACCTGGTAATAAAGATACGCGGCATAAAACAACACGAGAAGAGGCAATATGGCCCACAAAGATATAGGGCTCACGAATCCTATCAGCACGAAAGTCGATAGGAGCTGAAAAAATTGGCTTAGAAACATGTTGACAGAATTTGCGACATTACGGTCGATATCACTGAGATCTTTTGCGAATCTGTTGATTACTCGACCGATAGGGTTAGTATGAAAGAATGCCATAGGAGCTCTGAATATGGAGTGTAGCATCGAGTCGTGAATTCTTTTAGAGGCATTAAGGCTCGATGTGATCAACCAAAACGAATTCGTAAGTGTCACTAGCACCTGCGTAAAAGGTAACATTTTTACAATGGAACTCTAGTCTAAGCATTTCAAAATATTATGTAAATAACTTACAAAAAAAGGAAATTTTCAATCGAGAGAATTAAATTACCTGTCCAAACGAAAGTATTGCGTAAATAAGAATATAGAAACCGGGACCATAACCGGTCGATGTGCTCTGTTCGGTCCATACACTCAGCCATGTGCTACTTGAAATTCTTAGAGTTTCTGTTAGTATATAGCATGCAAATAATACCATTACAACCCACAAGCCCCCTAGAGCATTTTTATACCTGTGAAAAATGATAATCAGAATAAACAAATAAAAGCAAGCACAAGTATATATATATTTCTTTTCACAAAATATACATCATTATACAATTTACTTTACTTGGAACCAAATTACATAAATTGAATAATCCCAAATTATTGAAATTATTTAAAAAAAAATTGTAATCACCTGTTCAAAACATTCCAGCTGACTATCCCGGTCTCTCTCTCCTCCTGCTTTATAAGAACCGATCTGCCTGATTTGGCTTTGCTTGTAGAGTTGACAGCAGTTTTCGGCACTTCATGCACATCCACAGCACTCGAAAGTGGAGAAGTTTCATGGCGAAAACTCACCATATCCCCATTATTTTCATGCATTTGTTCTTCCACTTTGCCTGCATTCTCCATAAGTTTCTTGAAAAGTGTGCCGTTCTTGGAGAGCTCCTCAAAGGTGCCTTCCTCTTTCACTGTACCTTCAGAGACTAAAACTATTCTGTCAACTTGAGGCAGAAAATGTAACTGATTTGTGACAAGAACTCTCGTTTTTCCTTCCAGTGCTTCCTTGATACAATTATTGAAAACCTGGATTATTACGGGGAATAAAAAATGCTGTCAATCAACATTCTTGTACAAAATATCAGAGGTAAGAAAAAGTTCCTAATACAAAGGCTTTAAAGCTGTTGAGAAAAACTTCCAAAACCATATTACAAGAAAACGATTAAAATTTTAATATATCAGAATGTTTGTATATGAATAAACTCAATCCACACTCAATTCATACTCAAAATCTAACTCAACTTTAATTCAACTCCACTATCCTCAATATTATCAATATAAATAAATAATATCAACCAATTATTTTTGCACATCACGTCAACTTTAATTCACTATTTATCCACTCACATAAGTTTAACTAACCATCACTTCCCATTATCTCTCTCATACTTTTATATCAAATCAATTTTAATTATTTGATTATAAATATTATTTTAATATAAATCAAAATCCCACTAATAACTAACCATACCGCCCTTTTCAAATTCAAATATAACCCTGATTTAAAAAAAAAAAAAAAAAAAAAAAACTCGTTTTGACGCCCTAATACCTGTCGAGCTACATGAGCGTCTAGAGCGCTTAATGGGTCATCAAATATGTAAACATCTGAGTCAGAGTACACTGCCCTGGCCATTGAAACTCTTTGCTTTTGACCTCCACTAATATTTACTCCTCTTTCACCAATCTCTGTAAGATCATGGCCCTAAAGAGATCATAAAATTAAAAAAAAAAATAAAAATAAAAATTCACACCACAGTTAAACGTAAGACCATGAAATTTACCAGAGATCAATAATAGACGGAATTACAATTTAAGGATACTCAACTGGTAGCAATTCAAGGTCATGGTGCAATGCAGTGACATCTACAGTCTTCCAATATCTTATCGGTTCAAAGGACGACCCAAATAATATATTATCGCGAACCTGCAGTTAGTTAGAAATTCAGTTGTAAATATTAAAAATTTGAAAATAAATTCAACATTTTTCATGCATTTGTGGGACAGTACTGTTTATCCAGAACATGACAACTAATGGAACTCAGATTCTGCGTCAAATTAGCCAAAGAAAACAAATATTGAAATTCAAAGAACAAAAAATTACGATTTTCGGACAATGTTGAAACTCACTGTAGCATTGAAAATCCACGAAATTTGCGGGACATAAGCTACAGATCCTCTGATTATGACACTTGCATCGCCAATGGGAGGTATCTCTCCAAGCATTGCTGAGACTAATGAGGTCTTTCCTTCTCCAGTACCACCAACAATTGCAATTAAGCTGCCAATCGGTACTTGTAAATTAATATTTGATAAAGTGGGTCTTGCATCCTGTAAAAGTAGCCATTCGGTGAAAATTTAAAAGGCGCGCGCATATATAAGCAAGAAAGTGCTAGAAAATTTCTTAGTTAAAAATAATGGGATCATAATGTATAAAAAAATTTGGAAAAATCTACCGTCTCTGCACAAACAGTCAAATATTTTATGTTTGAATTGAGTATATAATGAAGACCTTAGAATCCCATGAAAAGTTTCCACCCTTGATTGAGATTGCTGGGAGTGTTGGCTCGAGTGATGGATTAGGTGATAAAGTTCTCTCCTCAGCAAGCAACAATTCTTCCAAACGCTGTAGAGATACATTTGCATTCACGACCTGAATATTTGGAAAATTTTATTAGCATGTCAAAAAAAAATCAAATGAAGTATTTATTAAAAATAGATTATTCACACACTTTCAGGTCTAAGATTTATCTTGAATATGATTGAATATCTCACAACTGCTGAAATGTCTGATGATAGTAAGTAGAAAATATAGGCAAAAAAGAATTACATAGAACAAACCTGGGTAATTAAATTAGGGAGCATATTCAGAGGCCTTCGAAGAACAGCAAATAACGAAAGAGATGTGAAGGCCCTGGAAGGTGTCAAGTCTCCACCAAGAAAAGTGAACATTCCAAAAGAAATAACTGTCACGAGGACTGGTGCGCTGTTTAGTATGAATGTATTACACTGCAAAAAAGTTAAATGCCGAAAAAAGGTCAAATTTGATGGGTACTGCATTTCATTCTGCATTTAAAAACTGTTGTAATAAATATATCTTATGCTTTATGTTTATGTATTTAACTATTTATCCAGCCATATGAGGAATAGAGCAGGGATTTATAGAAACATTTCTACATAGATTAAACAAAGCACTGTGTCAAGCATTGACCACA